TAACTAATAATTATTAATGTTGATCGAACCGATCAAAAAAAAGGCGATCACCAACCACATTCACAAATATTGAAATATGATGGCTGACGATTTGATCTACAGACTGGTAACGAATGATGGATGACACCAGTTTGGTGATTGATCAAATGCGAAAAATTGTAGTATTAGATAGTCGAATTCGCCCATATGATATTTTATACAAGAATCGATTAAAGATATCTCTGATTAAAATAAAGGTTTAAACACTGATTTATTTCCAAAATAAATTAATTCTGAAACTCTCCGACTATGCATAATTTATATTTTTTTCCTATTACGAATATTTTCAATGAGGTTTAAGATTTTGTTGACCAAGGATGGCAATGCTTATATTTCTAAATGATTTGATCTGAATCTAATTTGTCCAATTGTCAACACTATTGTCAACACGTTGTGAATGGAAATTTCTACTATAAAATCATGTCGTATGTGAATTAAAAAAAAATTATCGAGAATTTTATTCTTGACAGAAAATTCCGTGCTTGCATATCAAATACTGAAATATAGTAAAAGATCCAAAAAATTGCTTGTTTTCATAAGTTAATATAATCTTAAATTAAAAAATATCTAATGTTATAATTTCAGGAATTCCAGGAGCGAAAATTGTAAAGAAAGTAGCACATCAATTGCTTTGCGGTGTAAAATTTGATCAAGATACTATACACGTTCATAAAGGATGTCTTAATGAAGTACTTGAAAATTTAAATAATCAACTGAAATTGGATCCTGATGATTGTTGCTTACTTATTAATCGCGGAGTAACTCATTTAAGGTTAAAAGAATATGAAAAAGCACTCTTAGACCTTAATAGGTCACTAGAAATAAGCCCAAATAATGCATGTACATTATTATGTCGTGGGGAGACTTATTATTAATTAGATAAATATGAAGAAGCACTGGTAGATCTCAACAGATGGAACCAGACAATGCATATAAAGTTGAAATAATAATTCCCGGAAAAACAGAAACTGAAAATATTGATAAAATTCAATTAATGACTCGTGGCAAAATTAATTATAAAATGAATAAATATGAAGAAGCACTTTTAGATTTTAGCAAGTCACTGAAAATTGAACCAAGCGATATATATATATTGAAAATTCGTGGCGAAACTTATAGCAAATTGGATAAATTTGAAGAGGCGATTATTGATTTTAACAATTTGCTAGAAATCGAACCAAGAAATGCACATATATTAAGAAGTCGTGGAGAAATTTATAAAAAATTGAGGAAATATGAAGATGCGCTTAATGATCTCGGTCGATCACTAGAAATAAAGCTAGATTCATATACTTTAAGAATTCGTGGAGAAATTTATAAAAAATTAGGTAAATACGATGATGCACTTACAGACATCAGGAAATCACCGAACATAGAACCAGACAATGAATATGCATTAATGATTTATGGTAAATCTAATAATGCAATTTTAGATTTTTACTAATATTTGAAAATAAAACCAAATAATGTAGCAGCTTTAGTTGAACGTGGGGTTACTTACTATTGTTTACGTAAATTTTGTGAAGCATTTACGGATTTTAATGAGGCAATAAAGCTTGAACCTGGAAATGCATTCATTTTGCGGGGGCGTGGATCAACACTCAGAGCATTAGGTAAATATGATGAAGCGCTTTCAGATCTCTTTCAGATCTTAATAGGTCATTGAAAATAGAACCGGATAATGCTTGGGCGTTAAGAAATCGTGGAAAAACTTATAGACTATTAAAAAAATATAAGAAGCACTGAAAATTAAATCGAATGATGCCTTTTCATTAAGAAATCGAGGTGTAACCTATATAATATTGAATAAATACAATGAAGCGCTCTTAGACCTTAATAGATCCTTAAAACTTAACCCAAATAATGTTTTTGCGCTAAAAAATAGGGGCATGACATATAAAATGTTGAACAAATACTGTGAAGCAATTTCGGACTTTAATTACTTATTAAAACTCCAGCCAAATAATGCTTCGACACTAAAATTATATCAAAAATTTTTATTGAATACGATAAGGTTCTTTCAGATCCTAATAGACGAAACCGTTTAAATAATCTTGGAGATTTTTTTAAAAACTCGGGCAACTATCATAGAGCACTCTCGTATTTTAATAGATCGTTGGAAATCGAATCAAATAATGCTTGTGTATTAGCAATTTCAGACCTCAATAATTCATTAAAAATAAATCCTAAAAATTCTACAGCATTAAGTACTCGAGCTATAATTTATCATCGATTGAATGAAAATCAAAAAGCGCTTACTTATTTCAATAAATTGGAATAACTTATTCATCGCTAGAAAAATACAATGAAGCACTTACTGATTTTAATAAATTTTTTAAATTTTTTGAACCCAACTCTACTGCACTTTATAAAGATTTGAATATTTCAGCATTAAGATATCGTGGGGAATCTTATTATTATTTAGGGAAATATAATGATGCGATTTTAGATCTAAACCGAGCATTAGAAATCAGTCCAAACGATGCTCTTGTACTAAAAATGCGTGGGATGACATATTCTTCGTTAAATATATATGATAGTGCAATTTCCGATTTTAACAGGTGATTCCTGGACGTTAGGTTATCGTGGAGCAGTATATTCGATTTTGAAAAAATATAATGAAGCAATTTCAGACTTTAACAAATCTCTAGAAATTGATCCAAACTGTGTAAATAATCATGGATCGACATATAGACTGTTAGGCGAATTTGATAAAGCACTTTTAGATTTCAACAGATCACTTGAGATTGAGCTATCACACTACATAATCGTGGAATGACTTATGTAAAAATGTGTAAATTTAAGGAAGGGCTTTCAGATATAAAAAGATCAAAGATTATCGGATATGATCATTTGGTGTCTAAAAATTGCGTAGACAATGTTTTTACGTTAATAAATCGTGGGATCGCTTATAACATGATAGTAAATATGATGAGGCACTTTTAGATTTTAATAGATCACTTGAAATTGAACCGAATAATGATCAGGCATTAAAAAGTCGCGGAAAAACTTATGTATCATTGAAAAAATATACAGAAGCACTTTTAGATTTTGGTAAATTACTAGAATTAAAGCCAGACGAACAAATATGTTGAAGCAATTTCGGATTTTAATATAGTATTAGAAATAGAGCCGGATAACACCGATGTATTGGATAAGCTATTTAGAGATGGATAAATATATCGAAGCAATTTTAGATTTCAATAAACTACTGGAAATAAAACCGGATGTTAATTTACCGTGCTGTAAACTATGCAAATATGGGCAAATATAACGAATCAATATTTGAATTAAATAGTTTGTTAGAAATAATTCCTCATAATACTTCTGCATTGATTTATTTTAGGTAATTATAATGCAGCACTTTCGGATTTTAATAGAATACTAAAAATAAATCCTACCGTGGAGCAGTTTATATAAACTTAGGTGAATATGAAGAAGCTCTTTTAAATCTAGATAAGTCTCTGAAAATAAAGTCGGATAATGTTAATGCATTAGTCTATATATAAATCTGGTTAAACTTACTGAAGCACTTTTTGATCTCAATATATCTCTTAAAGCAAAACATTATAATAAATTCACGTTGCTTAATTGGATAAGTATGATAAAGCACTCTCAGACTTCAACGAATTCTTAGAAATTATGCATTAATCAAACGTGCACAAATTTATAAATCATTGAAAAAGTATGATGAGGCGATTTTAGATTTTACCAAAGTTTTAGCGATTAAATCAAACAATTTAGATGCATTAAGTGAGCGTGGAGGAATTTACTATATATTAAATAAATATGATTATTAAATAAATATGATTAGGATTTCAATAAATTGCTGAATGTAGATCCAAATAATGTACATGCATTAAGTGAGCGTGGAGCAATTTACGTTTTATTAAATAAATATGATTATGCAATAGAGGATTTCAATAAATCGCTGAATATAGATCCAAATAATGTAAATACATTAATACGTCGCTGAGAAGCTTATAAAATGTCAAATAATTATGAAAAAGCGCTTTCTGATTTTAACAAGTCTCTAGAATTAGAACCTGATAATCTCTATGCATTAGTTGATCGTGGAGAGACTTACATATTACTAAATGAAGATGGAAAAGCGCAATCCGATTTATGCAGATATTTGGAATTAGCACCAAAAGATGTTTCTTGGGATCCTTGGAACCTATTTTATCGTGCATAAATATACTATAAATTGAATAGATTTAAAGAGGCACTTTTATATTATAATGATTTATTGATATTGGAGCCAGATAATTTTTTTGCGTTGGTTCGCCGTTCAAAAATTTATATATTTCTTCATAACTATATTGAGGCACTTTCAGATATAAATAAATCATTAGAATTAAAGCCAAACTATAGAATATTAGGTGAAATTGATAAGGCATCTTCAGACGCTGACGTATTATTGAAAATAAATCCAAATTGCCCTGTTGCATTACATGCTCGGGGAGGTATAAATAAATTGAAGGGTAAATATGACGATGCATATTTAGACTATAAAAAATCACTGGAAATAAAGCCTGATTTTGGTGATGCTAAATTGAAATGCGCATTAGTTAAAAGAAATGTAGACGGTCATATTGAATCTATGGGTAATATACCATTTATAGTGTATAATGAAATTCGCGATATTAGACTTTTGAATGGAAATGGAGGGTTTGGCGATATTTTTAAAGCAACTTGGGTGAATAATTTAGGAGAAAAAAAAAGTAGCTCTTAAATATTTAAGAACTTCAAAAGGTTATTCTATAAATATTATTAATGAGGTAAGTACATTTATCTTTAAAATGATTCATTTTGTCCTTTTCTATCTAATTTTTTTACAATTACGGCCTTACGAAACATTTAGAATCGCAGAAAATTTATTTAGTAATGGAGTATGCAGAAGGTGGCAGCCTATTTGATAGCTTGTCAAAAAGTTATAAAGATATTTCGTGGCAAAAAAGACTTGAAAGATTACAATCAATTATAATAGGGTATATATTAAATAATTTTATTTTACCAATTTAACAAATAACATTAGATAACATTATTTAATATTGTATAGATTGGAACGGATTCATGAGCATAAATTAATACATTGTGATTTGCATTCAAAAAATATTCTAATTTGCAAAAATGGAGATCAAAAATTGGAGATTTGGGATTGACAAGATTTATTGATGACGTACCAATATCAGAAAATAAAATTTATGGTTTAATGCGTTATTTAGACCCACAATTATTAGTTGATAGGCATAAAAAGAAATACACTCAAAAATCTGATGTATATAGTTTTGGTATTATTATGGCAGAAATGTCAAATGGACAAAGAGCTTTCGATAAATACAAATCTTGTCCTGATTCCGAACTTGCATTAAAATCTATTTTGAAGGGATGCGACCAAAATTCGCTGATGGGATAATACTAAAATGCTACAGGATTTCTCAAACCTTTCCGAAATTTTAATGTCAGGAGATTCTTCACACCTTTTTGAAATTTTAAAACCAGATACTTTGCTTGAAAATTCAAATAAAAATGAAAATGATGATCTAATTTTCAACTTACTAAATTTTATATAATTTTACGTAATTTTGTAAAGTTTCTGAATTCTAAAATTACATTTACCCTAACCTCTAACCTCCACCCTTACCCTAATCTTAAAGAGGTTTAATTTTTTTGTTTTGATAGAAATTAATTAATTTTTTTATGTATTGTAAATCACAGGTGATAATCACTGCGGTGGTTTCTAGTTATTTTCATTAATTAATATACTTTATTAGAATGTGTTTGCCTTTTTTTTCTTGCACCATACAATGTCAATTAGAATCAGAACCAGTATAATGAATTTTAATAAATGAAGTTCTCCAACTAAACTGATAATATGTATTTTGAAAGTATGGGTAATCCAATACTTAGAACTTGGATTATGTAGCAGGTTGAGATTTTTCAATATATTCAAACAAACACTAATTATAATGTTTTTCATCTATTAAGCACATTTATTTTTTCTTTGATTATTAATAAATGTTTGAAGTATTTACTCAAAAGTTTTACAACTTGGAAAATAAAACTTTGTGAATTCATGATTAAATAATACAGAAGAAATCCTATAAAATAATATAGAAGAAATTTAATAGAATTATAGAGAAGATATTCAACAAAATAATATAGAAGAAATTCGAAGAATTATCTTAACAAACTGGTGAATTTTATTATGCATATCATAATTCACAAATAAAATACATAATAAACTCTATGATGTATAATTTTATGTATTTTTTTGCAATTTACTTTATATAGATAAATTTTAGTTTAATATAAGATATATCATGATTGACCTGAGTTTCTTTTCAATCGGTGAGATTAAAAAATAACAGTTGTCAATTCAGAATCAACTATTAATATAATTTATTATAGGCAACAGATGCATATATAAAGTTCATCAATAATTTAAAAAATAGATATTGTTAATCTTTTACTTACACTCTAATAATTTGACAGTAACATTTGTTAAAATATTTGTCAGATGCATATTTTAAGATCACCAATAATTTAAAAAATAAATATAATAAAGCTTATATTTACACCCTAATAATTTAACAGTAACATTTGTTAAAATTATTTGTTAGATACATATTTTAAACCAATAATTTAAAAAATAAATATAATAAAAGCTTATATTTACACCCTAATAATTTGACAGAGGCATTTGTTAAAATATTTGTTAGATACATATTTTAAGATCACCAATAATTTAAAAAATAAATATATAAAGATTATACTTATGGCCTAATAATTTGACAAGAGCTATTTGTTAAAGTATTTGTCAGATCCTATTTTAATATCACCAATAATTTAAAAAAATAAATATAAATAACTTAATTGATGATCCTCCAGTTAACTGAAGCATAATCTTAGTAAAATGTAACTTAGATTACTATATAAATTTACTATAGTGCAAATGTGGTGTATATGCATCTAAAACTTTTTTTATACTAAGTTAATAATCTTTCTTGCTTAAGAGACTTTTGTAAAGCTTGTTAAGATGCATCTAATGGTGGTTGGAGTGTCAAAATCAGCCTGGTGAGTACTGAGATATCTTTAAAAAACCTCTCTTTTACTATGTAAACTTCTTTGCAAACAATAGTCAAACAATAGTATTTGCAAAGAAATTTATATAGTAGAAGAGAGGTTTTTTAAAGATATCTTGGTACTTACCAGGCTGATTTTGACTATTAGATGCATCTTGACAAGCTTTACAAAAGTTTCTTAAGCAAGATGATTAACTTAGTATAAAAAAAAGTTTTAGATATGTATACGCCACATTCGCACTATAGTAAATTTATATAGTAATCTGAGTCACATTTTACTAAGATCATGCTTCAGTTGACTGGAGGATCATTAATTAATTTACCTGCTAATAATTTAACAGAAACATTCATTAAAATATTTGTCAAATGCATAATTTAAGATCAACAATAATTTAAAAAAATAAATATAATAAAGCTTATATTTACAGACTAATAATTTGACAGTATTATTTGTTAAAATATTTGTCAGTTGCATATTTTAAAAACATTAATAATTTTAGAAAATAAATATAATAAAGCTTATATTTACGCTCTAATAATTTGACAGAGGCATTTGTTAAAATGTTTGTCATATAATATTTTAAAATCAATAATTTTAAAAAAAATAAATATAATAAAGTTTATACTTACAATCTATAATTTGAATGAGGCATTTGTTAAAATAATTTTTAGATGTATAATTTAAGATCAGCAATAATTTTAAAAAATAAATATAATAAAGCTTATACTTACTGTCTAATAATTTGACAGTAATAGTAACATTTGTTAAAATATTTGTCAGATGCATATTTTATTTATTTATTTTTTTTAGTATTAAGGTGAGACCTTGCTCATATCTTTAATGATTAATTTATATAAGTAATTACATATTAGCTATATAAAAACTTAATTTGTATAATAACAAATAAATATAAATTATAGACAAGAATAAAAGCTCAGACTAAAAGCTCAAACTAAAAGCTCAAACTAATTATCTGTAACCTAAATTTACTAGAGTGGTCAAGACTCACCTAGGTTTGAATTGTTAAGATATGGTTAATAGGAGTATTATATTTGATCCACATAGTAGACCAAATATTAATTTTAAGAGTAGCTTGTCCTATAGGAGAACAAGTGTTAGAATTAGAGTGTAATTGGTCAGCAAAGCTGCAAGGGCAACTGTATGTGTAGTTAATTTTGTTTCTTCTATTGGTTGACTGTAGAGAAGATTGAGGTTACCTATTGAAGTTAGAATAGAAAGAAATTTGGTGAGATTTTTTCTAGTTGGAGAAATTAGTACAGTATGGAATCCAGATATTGTTATAAAGTTGATCAGAGATTTTAAGAAGTAGCTGAATAATGAGCTGAGAAGCATTAGAGTGTGAGATTTCAAATAGTTCTAAAGATTGGATTAGAGATATAGGTATAAGGCCTTTGAGTGTGGAATTAAGAGAGAAGGGGTGTGATTAAGATGGTAGCAGATTAAAAGCAGGGTGTGAAGAGATAGTATGTATAAGGTTGTTTATTTGGTAAGAAGAAAGATTGGAATTGATAATAATATCATGTATTGAAGAGTTAATAGTTTGGTTTAAAAGAGTATGATTAGGACAAGTATACCAATGAGAGAGAGAGTCTAAGTTGTTGCAAGAAAAGCAGTTAGGAGATGTAAATATGTGGGAATATATATTGTGGAAATGTGCATATGTTGGTAGTATATTAAATAGCATTTTGATTTTGAAGAATTTTAAGTGATTTAGTTTGGGATTAGTAAAATTATATGAAGTTTTTTGGTTGTTATTGAAGTAGAACCAAGAGGCTTTTTAGTCAATTTAATGAGAGAAATGAGACCATTCTTGAATACGGTTTTGAGAAGACCATAGGACTATATTGTGTGTGTATTATATTTCTTTAGTGAACTGTCTTGAAGGGCTATCAATAAAGTTGTCTTTCTATGATAGGATAAAGTAAGGGTTATAAGAGTTAATATAGTTAAAAAGATGCATATTTTAAGAACATCAATAATTTTAAAAAATAAATATAAAAAAGATTAAACTTACCTGCTAATAATTTAACAGAAGTATTCGTTAAAATATTTGTTAGATATATAATTTAAGATCAACAATAATTTAAAAAAATAAATATAGTAAAGCGTGTACTTACGGCCTAATAATTTGACAGTAACATTTGTTAAAATATTTGTCAGATGCATATTTTAAGAATATCAATAGTTTTAGAAAATAAATATAATAAAGCTTATGCTTCTTACATGCTAATAATTTAACAGAAGCATTTGTTAAAATATTTGTCAGATGCATATTTTAAGAATGTCAATAGTTTTAGAAAATAAATATAATAAAGCTTATACTTCTTACATGCTAATACTTTAACAGAAGTGTTTGTTAAAATATTTGTCAGATAAATAATTTAAGATCAACAATAATTTAAAAAAATAAATATAGTAAAGCTTGTACTTACGGCCTAATAATTTGACAGTAATATTTGTTAAAATATTTGTCAGATGCATATTTAAGAACACCAATAATTTTAGAAAATAAATATTATAAAGCTTATACTTCTTACATGCTAATAATTTAACAGAAGCATTTGTTAAAATATTTGTCAGATATATAATTTAAGATCATAAATAATTTTAAAAATAAATATAGTA